GTCAATAATAACACGGCTTACACTGTGGGCTGAATGAAGTAGCCCTGAGTTCCCCATCGCTGACCGCCGGTCAAGAGGTTTGCGCCCTCTTTGCGTCCGACGTCAATGAGACCCAAAATCTTGTTGAACTGGACGTCGTCGATCTGCGGGCCCTGTTGTGTCTTAAGGTCTGTGGGGTCGCCCACCACCCGGGCCTTCGCCAACTCCACCGATCTTTGCACAAACTTATCGTAAATGCTTTCCTGGACGAAGATTCGCGATGAGGCACAACAGCACTGACCCATATTCAGGAACACTCCCACATGCTATACGGCACCGGTATTCATGATTAGTAATCAGTAAATCAGTAATAAATGTTAATGAGTTAATTAAACTCTTATGTAACACTGAAAATATTTATACTAAACTTTGGACTAATACTAGTCGTTAATCTTTAAACTTGTTATTGAATTCCTATTAATTACTATTTTATCAGATGTTAATAATTTAAACAATTTTATCGGTACTTAGTTTACTTTAAAAATATAATCAGCACTAATATCGCCAAATAAATGGGCAGTTAATCTATTTTTGGAGACGTGTTTAAGTAAAATGTCTGCAAAAGTCTTACCGCGGTCTGAACGGCTGCCTCGAGGTCTGCGTCGTCGAAGATAACGAGCGGTGATTTGCCGCCCATTTCGAGGGTCACTCTCTTGGTGTTGGACTTTCCGGCGGCCGACTGAATGATTTTGCCGATCTCTGTCGACCCTGTGAACGCCACTTTGTCCACATCCAGGTGCTCGGACAGCGCGGCTCCGGCAGTGGGCCCATAGCCGGGCACTACGTTGACAACACCGGGTGGGAAACCGGCCTCTTTCACGAGACTCGCCAAATACAGTGCAGTTAACGGAGTCTTAATTGTAAATTGCGATTAAATTAGTACAAAATTTAATCCATTTCCAAAAGGGAAAGTCTATACCTGTTCAGCGGGTTTGACAACACAGGTGTTTCCGGTGGCCAATGCCGGCCCGATCTTCCACGACATCATAAATAGCGGGAAATTCCACTAAAAATAATGAATTTATTTATTAGTAAACTTCGGGAAGACTTTTATT